AGACTGCGGCACAGGCAAACTTTGTGGTGCAGGTGCATTGTTACCATGCAAGGACCGCTTGAGCCGAGCCCACTCCCTCGTCTGCACCAAGACCGGCGCCTCAACCTTCCTCCATAAATAACAGGATGGTTCGAGTAGTCCTCAAGACACTGCGCGAGTGCCATATGCTCATCGCCGTTGAGGATTCCTCCCCTTCTACCACGGGCACTGGTAGGGGAAAGGGGCCATGCAAGATGGATTTGGTAGTACCCCCAGGATTACACGCAGGAGAGAAGGAAGAGGAACTCTGCACCAAGTCCATTCTTATAGACAACAATTGTCAACCCATCCGCAGGTCGAAGCATCGACACGTTGATTCGAAAGCCTGGATCCGCCCTCGAAGATCGAGCTTTAAGTAAGGCAAATCACTACAATTGTATGCGGGAACTTTCAACCCGTCTAGATCTACGTTCCTTACTGCTGCTTTTTCGACGAATGGTGGTCTTGGCAAAGGCACCAATCGACTCATCGTTGCTATCGCCCACCACTTGGCGCACGAAGCTTTTTGCCGGGGGAATTTCGACGACGAAAGAGCCTTAGTTCGCCTGAAAGCTTTTCATACTAACAGGATTCGGAGACGGTTTACCTTCGAGCTAGCTCGTTTTCTGTAGATGCGAACTCGCGATGTGTTCAAACGTCATGGGCTACTGATCGACCAACTTCCACCAGGGCCAATCGGTTGGGATCTCTGCGACAACGTTAGTAATGAGGGTGATTCTTTAAGGAGTGACGGACACGAAGAAAAGGGAAAGGGAAGAAAGGAGGACGAAGACGACGATGGAGGAGGAAACATGGAGGAGTGGAAGAGAGCAAAGGTTTTGAGCCAGATGACCTTCCCCGAAACAAAAAAACGTAGGGCTTGCCTAGAGATTCTTGTCAAAATGAGGATCAGAATGATGGTAGCGAAAACAAGGAGGATAATGGTGAAAGTACTACTAAACGAACTAGAGTACAAGGAAATAGTTGGGTAGACGCGTCCAGTTGTCTTCTGTTGCTGTTGTTTCTGTCTTTGATCCGAAGGGTAGTTTAGCCTCCCCCATGCTGCCCCCTCACGGGGTCCCAGTTCATGGCAGATAAAAGTGTTTCGTGTTTTCAACTGCACTAAGACTGACGTCTTTTCATTGGACAGCCGGTTTGCGCGGGCGATGCTAATAATAAAAGCACACACACCAGGCAGAGAAGACAGACTCCACACAGAGAAATAGGGTACACGTGCTACTGCAGACCCGAACAGCTCTTCGCAGGGGCGTACCATGCCATGTGCGGAAGGTGAACTGTGCGCTCAACCAGACTCAACGCCGCAAGACCCTCATGGCCACCACTGCCAAGGAGGATGTGGCGGGCGGCTGCACGGCATTTGCGGCAGCATGTTTTGTGCAGTGATATTTTGTACGAACGAGAGCTTTACAAGCAGTTTGTGCCGTCACAGCTTACTCGAGTACATGACGTGTCTTCTTTCGCCGTCGACTATGTAGTCCTGGTTACGCTGTAGCCCGAAACTACTGTACATCTTATTTTACAACAAACACTTGTTGGCTCCACAGGTTGGAACCACACATACATGTCGCAGGAAAGAAAGTCTGCCCACGCCCACGCTGGAACTTCCTTCAACAGCAGTGTCGATCCATTTCGTACTCTGTTGACCCTGCAAACGTGGGCGCTACACCATATAAATCGAACACAACCTCATTAGTGCCAGACCGGCACTAATGAGGGATTTGCCAGCCCTCAATAGTGCCGTTTTGGCACTATTCGCAATAGTGCCGGGTGCCATGTTTAGTGCCGGTGAACGCTCTGTGCACGTACCGGCACTCCCAGTACTGTATACCCACAGTCGAACGGGATGTGGTGGAGTCTTTTCAGTGAGTGGAGGGAAACCGGCTGGGTACTTGCCAACGTTCAGGCATCGGTAGAGAGGGAGCAGGGTGGGCTCTAGTTAATACCATCCAGAGACCCCCTTCCTCAGAGGTACAAGAGGGCACATGGACTCAAATACGTGATGCACACACACACCCGCCCCTCCCCCCCCCCCCATTTTTCAGGCGCTTGATTCAGTTTGGTCAAGGCGCATATTGTATAGGGCTTAGAATCGATATTATAGGGTCCGAAGATTCACCAACACAAACGATTGGCGTGAGATACCACTCGGTTCACGCGGAGAAAAAGTGTGTTCCATCGTGCTGCAGAAAAAGAACCTACAACCCCGTCACGATCGAACGTTATGGAATCTCATGATGACACCTCACTAAAAATCATCGACAAAACAACCCCCGTGACCTCCAACGTTGTCCTCGAACCCTCCGCTTACGGACGCTTCAGGAACAGGGCGGGAAGGAGGGGGGATGAGCACGGAAGTCGCGCGGTTGGTGGATACTTTAGTGAGCGCGTCGATCGGGGGAAGCACGCACAAGGTGTATGCCGCGAAGTGGAAGACATGGTTGGATTTTATGAAACACAAGGGTAAAGAACCGTGGTTGAACTCGATGGACGAGCCCGAGATCATCGCGCTCCTCCTCGAATTTATGACGTGTCGTTTGTTTTCGTTCAACAACCAGCAGTCCACAGTTCGGGGATACCTCGCGGCTATCAAGTTTTTACCATAAGCTATGTACGGGGTGGGAGCCTCCCACGTCGCACTGTATGATTACGGCGGCAGGGAAAGGGATTGATCGCATTCGAGGGATGACGGGCAAGCAAGCGCAAGTGAGGTTGCCCCTCACGTGGTCGATGTTGTCGCAAGGCTACCATACGGTTGCGAGCGCTCCAGATGGAGGAAAAGTTTTGTGGTTAGGACTGACGCTGTCGTATTTTCTCTTGTGCCGAGCTTCAGAATTGTTCGCGTACGCGAACGGCCTCGTCCATCCAGATTTCTGTTTGACGCGTGACTGCTTGAGGTTTTTTCAAGGAGACATTCAAGTGGAGACTGAAGATAGAGCGCGCGCGGATTCAGTCAGGATTCATTTCGTGGCGTCAAAAGCAGATCAGCATCGAGAGGGATGCACGATCACACGCACCCGCAGACCGAGATCGGAGGAATCTGGTAGGGCGCCTTTCGGAGCCTTCGAAGCGATCGTGGAGCTCCTGAACGTACACCCGAGCCTTCCCGGACGTGCCCCTTTGATGACGAGGATGGGTGCATATGGGTGGAAGGTGGTTGCTCGCTTGGAAGCTGTAGTCGCGCTGAGGAGGATGGTTGCTTGTGCAGGGAAGGATCCGGCACAGTACGCATTGCACTCGGGTCGCATTGGTGGCGCCACGCAATTAGCCGCGCAAGGCGTGTCGGACTTGCAGATTCAGCGGGCTGGGCGTTGGAAGTCGCGAGCGTTCATGGTGTACGTAAGGGAAGCAGGAGAAGGAGCAGAAGCGGTTTCCGTGGGACTTACAGGAGGAAGATGAGAGTAAAACAGTACACTCAGCCTGCACAATGGCGTGGTTTTCAGATAGCTTGGAAGAGGCTATTCTCGTACCGGATTGGCTGAGTCGTGAATTCGAGTATCGTATAGGGACATCGTAGGGGCAGGACCCACAAGTGTGGAGGTACGGTTCGTCTACATGTGATCTATATTGTCTCGGGTTTTCATCATTTTTCACGTAGAAGATTAGAAAAATAATGCCAGAATTCTTGAGCCTATAACAAAGTTCAGGCATCGGTAGAGAGGGAGCAGGGTGGGCTCTAGTCAATACCATCCAGAGACCCCCTTCCTCAGAGGTACAAGAGGGCACATGGACTCAAATACGTGATGCACACGCACCCCCGCCCCTCCCCCCCCCCCCATTTTTCAGGCGCTTGATTCAGTTTGGTCAAGGCGCTTATTGTATAGGACTTAGAATCGATATAATAAAGCCTATATATTCCATAATGTATAGGCTTTAGTGTGACGTTGTAAGGCCAGTTGTTATGTAGAAATTTTCCGATTTGGAATCCTGGGGGGCACGCGGAAATACCGTCCTCACAAACCTATACAATAGAGAGGTGAATATATATGACCAGACCAAATCCTACGCCGTTCTCTGTAGCCCCTTTCAGCAGCAGCAGTCAATGTGGTCCTCCTGCAACAACAGCAAGAAAGGGTATCATCAGCAAGCAAGCACCTTGTCTGCTGTTCCCTATAGAGAAGACAGGGTTCACAGCAGCAGCAGCATCATGTATAGGCTTTATACACATGCAATGTACCCACAACACACAGCAGCGGTCTAAACCTAAACTTCATAAGAAGTAAAGAGAGGTGTAAGGTTTCGAATAGCTACAACATAAATTGTATAGGTTATACAATACCACACTATTTCCTACATACATCTATGTATACGGTATATAACATACCCCCCCCCCCCCCCA